ATGAAATTCCATGGCAGAAGTACTTGCTTTGCTGTATGAGTAACTGGCTGAGATAGTTGAATGTAACCATGTCTAAGATAATTCACAGAATGCTTTAATGTCTGATTAGCTCAGAGGAAAGAAAATCTGATTCAGGGAGTTATTTTTCTGTATTCTAAAGCAAAATATTTTGTGATGCCATTTCATTGGGATTTTCAAGTGGTATTAAAGCACAGTGGTGCTTAAGGCTAGAAGGGGATGAGTGACACTTGCCATCTGGAAGTTGTCAGAGCAGCTACAGCCAGCCTGGCAAACAGTCTGTGGTGACTAAGTGACAACATACTGTTCACAGAATCTGCGTAGATAGGAAAATAACACATACATAAATAAAAACGAGATCACCAATTTAATGTCAAGTTAATGAACAGAATGTTTACATATCATTATCAAATAAAACACTTAAATCATGCTGTGTATTAACAACGAAGAATGTCTTGCTGACATCTCCCAGTGTTGTTGCTAGCAAGGTGCATTTCAGACTGGTTACCTGAGTAGAGTTTCTCTCACTTCAGCTACACAAGGAATGTCTTACTGGGGGCTCAGGTCAATTTCTAGTGATCTCACATGGATGACATCAGGTGTTCTGCAGGGCATTCTCATTTTGTTGCGATTAATATTTTAATACTTTCAATTATTTGAGGATTTTTTCCTAAGATTAGGGTCTCATTTTGGTACCTTCTTAGCAAAAACTTGCTTCTGCTTCTCAAAAGCAGTTCCATCTGAAATCATCAAAGCTGCTTGCAAACAACCCTCAGCCCAGGAAAATGCTTGCACCTTTTTGTGTTCTCATAGGATGCTGCATGTTCAGAAAGAGCCTGACATGCTGCATTCTGTAACTTCTCCGTGGCAAACCAGATTAATTTGTACAACTGTGTGTGCAAAATGTTACTTTCACATTTAAAAATAATAATTGTTTGGTATTTTAAATATTAATGGTGATAAATATGTGGGAACTCTTCAGATAGGTTCAGCTGGAAATCTGACTGACTGCAGTAAAATTTCTGTTTTAATACAGACTGAAGAGTTTGACATAAACTAAGTTTTTGTTGAATGCTAATGCTTGGCATTCTTCCTCGTTACTCTGGTTAATTACTTGTTATCAGAATTTTCCTTAGAAAGAAACAGGAGTAGAACACACTTATATCTGGTCAAAAGGTGTGAGTTTATGTTAAACAGCACCGGTCCCAGTACTGATCCATGAAGAATGCCACTTGTCACTGGTCTCCACTTGGACATCGAGCCACTGACTGCACCTTATTTGAGTTCAGCCATCCACTCAAATTCTTATCCACCGAGTGTTCCGTCCATCAAATCCATGTCTGTACAGTTTGGAGACCAGGATATCGTGCATGACAGTTTTGGATGCTTTGTGCTAGGCAGGTAGATGACATCAGTTTCTTTCCCTTATCCACTGGTGCTGTAACTCCATTATAAAAGGCCACCAAATTTGTCAGGCACAGTTTGTCCTCGGTGAAGCTGTGTTGGCCGCCACCAATCACCTCCTCATTTTCTGTATGCCGTAGCAGAGGCTTCAGGAACATCTACTCCATGATGTTGCCAGCCAGAGGTGAGACTGAGTGGCCTGTAGTTTTTTGGATTGTCCTTTTTTCCTGTTTTGAAAATGGGAGTTATGTTTCCCCTTTTCTAGGCAGCAAAAACTTTACCAGACTGCCATCACTTTTGAGATCTGATGGAAAGCAGCTTGGCAACTTCATATGCCAGTTCTGCAGATGTGTATGGATCTTTTCAGGTCCCATGGACTTGTGCACCTTCCGGTTCTTCAAATGGTCTCAAACCTCATCTTTACTTACAGTGGGCAGATCTTCTTTCTCCCAGTCTGTGCCTTTGCCTTTTGCAGCCTGGGTGGTGTGGCAGGGGGGCCTGCCCGTGGAGAACCAGTAAACCCCAAGCCCTGAATCAGGGTTAACATATGCATGATGTCCACAACCAGGCACTAAAGACCTTCCTCTTGGTTTTCTCTCAAAGCCTGGCCAACCTTGGGTGAAAACCAATTAGGAAATCACCACCAGGTGCCCTGCCTTTAGAATTAACATCATCTGTCCTGCCTCTAAAGTTAACAGTATAAAGGCTGTTTCTGCTTGCAGTGAGTGGGGGGAAGTTTACCTACTTCATGGATGTACTGTGTAGGGTTTGCTGTTGGTGGAAGTGCTGCCTGACAGATCACTACGAGTAGGACTCCCAGTGGCAGTGGGACAACAATTAGGTGTGCCCATGGGGGAGTTTTGGGCAGTTTGGCCATAGGCTGCAGTTTCACTGCAGATTGCCCCTGAATCTAGCTGTCTGTCTCCTTTTCTGCCTCTTTGATGCTATGCATCCTTTTGACTGTCTCCTGCAGCTCAGCCACCTGGGCACACTCCTTTTGCAGGCATATTTGCCATCAATCCCTACTCCAGGAGACAGGCATTTCCCACAGACTGAGGTCTGCATGGCAGCCTCCCCCTTCAGCAGTCATTTGCTCTGCAGCAAGTCCCAACTGTTCTGCCTTGAGGATCAGTTGGGATGAGTGTCTTTCACCTCTTCAGCTGGCAGAACTTCAGCACCCTTCCATGCAAACTGTCGCACCAGACTACGTTGTATAGTACAAGCAGTATGGGTGTAAGTGACAGTGGTGAATTGATGCAGTCAGAAAGATTAATTTTATCACATAAGAGGTTCCTGTGCAAGAAGAAGCAGGACATTGTACCACAGCCTTCCGTGAAGCTACATCCAATCCTAGATGTCAGTTCATAAGTGCAATTAAATCATAATGTGTCTAATGTAATCTAACTCAAAAGGCAGTAAAGAGTAGATTGAAGGTAGAGCTGTCAGCAGTTTAATTTATAAGTGTGATTTCAAAGTGGCAATGCTTTTTCCAAGCCTATCTACTATAACCCTGCATATACAGTGTTGCTGACTGTACTAGTAAGCTAAGTATTTTTAGAGTGGATGAATTGTTTTGGCTTTTCTTAAGCCTACCCAGAACCTACCTTCAGTGCTTAGCAGTAAATATCCACTGCTTGCTTATTTTTAATGAATACATTATACAGTAATTTCTTTTTGAAAAAGTTTGAGTAAAGGGTAGCAATAAGCAAGCAGTGAAGAAAACTCCAGAACTTATTTGTCACCAAAAGTCTGTGCTTTTGTACCTGTTAGACACACTATTTTTGCAGTTCATCATTATGAAACGATAAGTTAGTAGCCACCAACGTTCCCACACAATGCACAGTAAAATTTCTTTATCTTGCTGTGTGGTAATTTAGAATGTGCTTTTTTGTTGTGTCCTGATAACCTGGGTGAGCTCTGTCATCAGGGGATGACATGGAGTACTGAGGGCCATATGTTAGCAGCTTGTTTTGTTTGCACTAACCCACCTCTGTGCAGGATTTTTCTGAGCAAGATCAAAGCCACCATGTCTTCTGAACGTGTCCTTTGTGTCTGGAAACCTGAATGAGGCTGTGCCTTTCTGCACTTAGAGTACAGTGTGCTACGCTTTGTTGCTTCACTTTAAACACTTACAACAGTGCTAAAATTAAGACTCCATGTTCCTGGTGGAAGATACATGCCAGAGTCTGAAAAGAATTCAGCTGTATTGGCTGAATTATTTGGCTTCTACTTAATATAATACATATGTAAGAAATACAGATGGAGTGGAATAGAACTTTCCTACCTCTTTCTCTGTATACTTGAACACTGGAATTAAAATGATCTTTGGGGATGTGCTAAATAGTAGACTCCTTTTACCTCCTCACACAGTTTTTCAGATCACTAGACCTTTCCTGGTGATTACAAACCTCATTTTGGATTTGCAAAATGTGTTGAGTTCACAAGCTATCTCCGTGCTTTGTATAAAAATATTTATATTTTGATAGTCTTCATCAAAATCACATACCTGGAGTTGCTGCTCTTTCTTCATCATCTCTGCAAAGTCACATTTCATCCTTGTTCACGTAAGAAGATGTACTATCGCCTCCTAATCCTGTGCCAGAAATTATCACCATTATTTTAGGGTGTTGTGTACCAAAGCACATCATGAATCATTGCTGAGCTGCATGAGGTGAAGTGGCACAGCATACCTTTTCTTACTGGCACTGGGCTTTCTCCCTCCACTTCGCAGTGCTGTTACATAAGAGATTTAACACAGTTCCTATCTGCTAGCAGTTTGCATATATTATTAGATATGATCACAGCTTTGCATATTGGCTTGAAGTGTATCTCCTTCTAATGGCAGTATGCCAGACTTCATAATGATGTAACCGACTCAAAATTTATGACAGTATATGTGCATGGAAGAAGAGAGGGAATTTGACAGAGGCAAAAATGATTGGTAGATCTAGAAAAGAAGACTGGTTGGTTAAGTCATGCTTCAGAAATAAAACTGCCTTTGCAATTTGAATAGGCCTTATTTAGCTTAATAGAGATGCATGCTTGTTGTATGAAAATCCTATCAGCTGTTAATTAGAGGGTGCAAGCAAATGCCTTTTTTTTTTCACATTTGAAAGTTCTCCAAGAATATTTTCTCAGTTAGGAGGTGGAGAGGAGGTAGAAAGTAGTCTAAGCAAGAGGGGACTTTAAAAATGTCAATAGTTTATAAGTATATGGTTTATAAGTATATTATAAATTTAATTGATTTATTGCTATAAATAAAAAAGGTGCTGACTGGACAGATCTTCCTTGACTACAAAATAACATTGGGTTACACTTCAGCTGTGCATCCTTCTTTCCTACTTGTAACATTAACATTGAGCTAATTAGATAACTAGCATTTTGACTTAGCTGAGGTAGTAAAAGATTTCTTGTTTAATTATGATGTCATGAATTTTCCTAACAGGAGAAACTTGTGCTTTGAAGGCCTGTTTTTACTTAGGTTTTCAAGATGCTGCTGTGTAATTCATAACTACTGGAATGAAAAGACTGCGTAGTGTTCTTTTATGTCAGTACATCTATTTTTTCTTTGTTGATAGGTTCTAGAGAGTTTTAAGATTATGGATTACAGTCTGCTACTGGGGATCCACATACTGAACAGTAACATGAAGGAAAAAGAAGGAGAGAATTCTCAGAGTGCATCAGATGCAAAACGTATGGGAGGGCAGAAGGTTCTGTATTCCACAGCCATGGAGTCCATTCAGGGCCCTGGGAAGTCAGGGGACTCGGTCTCCACAGAGACAGCAAACACGTAAGTGCCATTACCTGCTCTTAAGGTTACTATGAAAATTTGCATATTCTGTTTCTTCAGTCTGTGTCACTTGGTATCAAGAGGCAAAACCTAGGTCTGCACAAGTGCATTCATTTATAAAAGAGATGCTATGAGATGGCTATTACAAGACTCCCAGGTATAATCTCATTTTAATTGGAAGGAGACTGATAAGCTATAAGGAAAAACTATTTATTAACATCGACATGGATATTCCTACAGTGGCTATTTTAATCTCAAATTAGTATATTCTGTACATAGAATTGTGTCATCAACCACTGAAGTGCACTTGTAACCCTGTATGATGCTTTACTCATTTTTTTCAGTCCAGCGAAAGCTGCAGTAGAAATTTAAGTATCTATATGACAGTTATTTTAACTTTTCCTTTGAAATACATTAAGTGGTAATGAGTGCATTACGTTCACCATTCTTATTCTGTATAATCAGACCTTCATTATAATGAGGGTTTAGTTTCCAATTAAGGATTTACTTTTCTCCTGGTTCTCAAGGGAGCTGTCTAGGTAAACACAACTAATGATGCAGAGACATGTGCTTAAACCTACAGCAAACGAAGGGAAGAATTATAATGTTTCGCATTATCTTTTAGCATGGAGAACTTCCAGGTGTTCGGAGCGCTAGAATATAAATTGGAGATTAATTTCACCCTAGTTTTAACAGCATTACTCACGCTCCCTCAGAAGATGGTGAATGCTCTTCTGTGGTGGTAGAGGTGTTGCACTGGCAGTTTTGGGGGATGTTGGTTTTGTTTTGCTTTTATTTTTTAACTAAAAGTCAAAGCTGATTATAGAGGTCATCCAAGAAAGTCCTTGTGGTTGTTATGTCTGGAAACCTACCCTGGGTTCCCACGTCACTTGAGATAATGCAGTGCTGCCCAGACCCTGAGCAGTGTAATACCATTGCTGAAAGCCTGCTGCAGCAGTTGCGTCCTCCCTTGACCCCTTGTACCATCCTGTCTCTGGTAGTGCAGCAAAACTCACTGAGGTGGATGAAAATAAGCCTAGGTCTTACAAAAAAGACCCCTAGGTCAGTCTTCTGCTCTGGCTCACTGAGGCCGTACCAGCATGAGGATGAGCATGGACACTCATCAGCAATAACTGCTGCTTGTACTGGATTGAATTTACAGTCATAGCTTGGAGGAAAAGTTGACAGAATATAGTTTTGTTAACCACTTAACACTTCAGAATGTCTGATCATTTAATTGGACTGCAGTTTACAGTAAGAGGGCTTTACAATAATGTAAACTCCACTTGTTATTACATGGTTTCTTTTGTGCTTAGAATAATAACAAAGTTTCCCCTTTTTCCCCTCTATGCCCTGGAAAAACCCAGCAGCTGAGTAGATGGCTGCCCTGTTTTGTTGAGGGAAGGGACTACTATGCATAAGTGTCAGGATGGGGAATATGCCCTCAACTCTGTCTTTGATAGGTATTTAGGGTGTGTATTATTTGTTTCTAAAACTGTTAAAAAATATTTGGAAGTATTGCGTGTGTTGCATCTTCCATATCCTTTTCTGGTTTCCTTTTGGGTCCGTCAATGTCAACAGAAGCTGGCAAACGGAAAATTTTATTTCTGTTTCTGTCTCTAAAAACAATGGATCCTTTTTTTTTTTTTTTTTTGAGGTGATGGAATAGGAATAGAGATTCTTAGGATGAGTACCTTGTTCTTTAAGGTCATGGCTGAGTAAATACTCTGAACCAAGTGGAGATTCAGGTAGTCAGGCTTCTCAGCTTGATAGAGTTACTTTCTCTCTCACTAATCTGTCTGTAAAGAAATTTTGGAAAAGCACATTCTTAATTTTTAGTGATAAATATACAAAACAACCATTTCAGACTTGGAGCAGTGTGCAGGCTCTTTACAGTTTCTTTACATGTGATGAATAAAGTGGCAAAATTGTCCTTTAGCTAGGTGAAATTATTTATTTTCCTTAGTAATAAACTGGTGTATACTTTTTTCCAATCTTCAGATCATTTAAATACTTGCAATTCTATCTAAAAGTTACACTAAAATACTTTTTCTTTGTAATGGATTTTTACCACTGGATCCCAGATAATTTAGATTTGCTCTTCAAAATCAGTTGTATGTTAAAGGACCCGCATTTGTCTGACTGCACATCTAGCTTTAAAGTTGTGGCTATTTCATTTGGTTTCCAAGTAGGTAGAGTTCACCTGCAAGATGGTCGTGAGAGGTGTTTTTAATCTAACTACATTTTTGTTGTTTCTTTCAGAATGGGAGGTATTCCAGCTAAAAGCCATAAAGGAGAAAAGCTGCTTCTATTCATGGGTATTATCGATATTCTCCAGTCATATAGGTAAGTTGAATGTCAAGTTTTTGTTGAACAAGCTATTCTGAAATTACTTACAAATGTGAAAAATTTATAAAGCAGTTCTGACTTTGTTTTTATATGCTTAGGCTAATGAAGAAGCTGGAACATTCTTGGAAAGCTCTTGTTTATGATGGGGTAAGTAGATTTTACTATTTTTTTTAACCATCACCATATGGTTTTGGCTGTTGCTGAAATCTTTTAGGTCCTTTTCCTAGTCCATTCTCTGATTTTATTTGTTAGTCTTCCAAAAAGCAACTAAAATGATAGCTTTTCCTTATAAATTACACAAGACGATTGAAATTTACCAGGACATTGATGAATCTGTAACTGAAAAATGTACCTAATGTGAAGAAAAGCATTTCAGATGCCGGGAAGATTTTCCAGAACACAGCTGTATAATTAATAACTTGTAATTTCATGAATGTAATATCTAAGAAAATTTCTTGAAAAATTACCCTTTAAAAAGGAAAAACTTGTTAGGATTCACTTGAGTGTGCCTGAAACACATGGTGCAGTTTATGTGAGGTGTCCAGCCTCTTTCTTGGCAATTTACTTGTGACTTACTTATGGGAAAAGTGATTGAGACCTTTTTCAATCTTGTAGGACACTGTTTCAGTTCACCGACCAAGTTTTTATGCAGACAGATTTTTAAAGTTTATGAGTACAAGAGTTTTCAAGAAAGTTCAAGGTAAGAAAATTGTGACTTTTACTCTTCTAGATATTTTTTATAATTAGTGTGTTATAACACTCCTTTCTTGGCAATAAAAGAATCCTTTCATCAACATCACATAGCACTTGCATTGCCTGCAGTTGAGTTTCTCCACTGGAGCTAAAGGGATTCTACTCTAATGATAAAATTACAGAGAATTATTTGTTTGGGGTTTTTTTGTCTCATCAGGGGCATCTGAAGGTGAGATCTGTTCCCTTATATTAGCATTGATATAAATTTCTTGATCTAAATGATGTGTCCGGTCCTGCATCTGTTAGTAATACCCCCACTGATTTTAATTTATTTAATTTGCAGAAATAAAGATTGTTTACATACCACCTCCAGTGTGTTTGAAAAGATAGCCATTCTTTGATATGGATTTTTTCTGTGCTTTATCAGGGAAAAAAATCAGAAGTTTGGTATTAATCATGTATTTTGTCTTTGTCACTATCGCCTGTTTCTAGTTTTTCCTTCCATTTCTCCTTTCTTAATCTTTTGATCCATTCTCCCAAGGGTAAGATACATGTATTAGCTACTCACAGGGTGTGGTGGCTTGACCCTGGCTAGACACCAGGTGCCCTTCAAGCCCCTCTATCACTCCTCCTCAGCTGGATAGGAGGATAAAAATATAACAAAAGGCTAATGGGTTGTGATAAGGACAGGGAGAGATCTCTCACCAATTACCAGTCACAGGCAAAACAGGCTTCACTCAGGGAAATTAATATAATTAATTACCACTTAAATCAGAGTAGGATAATGAGAAATAAAACCAAGTATTGAAACACCTTTCCCTGCTTCTCTCTGCTTCCCAGTCTCAGCTTCACTCCCAGATTCTCTACTTCCCCTCCCACAGCAGCATAGAGAGACATGGAGTGGGAGTTGCATTTGGTTCATCATATGTTGTCTTTGTCACTTGTTCCTCCTCATGCTCTTCCCTGGCACATGTGGGGTCTCTCACACGGGAGACAGTGCTCCATAAAGGTCCTTACCACGTGCTGCAGTTCTCACAAACCGCTCCAGTGTGGGTCCTTTTTACGGGCTTCTATCTCCACAGGTCCTGACCAGAACCTGCTCTAGGGCAGTCTTTCCTTGAGGTCACAGCTTCCTTCAGGGCACAGCCACCTGCTCCAGCTCGGGGTCTTCCACAGGCTGCAGGTGGATATCTGTTCCATAGTTAACCTTCATGGGCTGTAGTGGGACAGCCTGCCTCACCATGGTCTTCACCACAGGCTGCAGAGGAATCTCTGCTCCAGCACCTGGAGCACCTCTTCCCCTTCCTTCTGCACTGACCCGGGTGTCTGCAGAGGTGTTTCTGTCACATATTCTCACTCCTCTCTCCCAGCTGCTGTTGTGCAGCACTTTTTTCCACTTCTTAAATCTGTTAGCAGAGAGACGATACCACCATTGCTGATGGGCTCAGCCTTGGCCATGAGTGGGCCTCTCTTGGAGCCAGCTGGCATTGGCTCTGTCAGATATGGGGGAAGCTTCTAGCAGCTTCTTGTAGAAGCCACCCCTGTAAGATCCCTCACTACATAACTTTGCTGTGCAAACCCAATACACAGGGGAAAGGAAAAAAGCCAAGAAAATGCACCCATCACTACAGGAGAACATTGCTGCAGTGAGTTGCCCAAAGACTTAAGTCTTGCAACAATAATTTAACTATTAATTGTCACTTCTCTCAAATAAAATAAATTCATTTCTATGACTAAAATTAGACCCCTGGAACTGTAGATCCTCCTAAGGCATTGGAGATGGAGAGTAAATTGATTTTTTGTAGGTGAGTTCTTCCTGTGTGTTGTGGTTTAACCCTGATGGGCAGCTAAGCCCTGTACAGATGATCACTCACTCACCCCTCCTCACTTCCAGTGGGATCCGGGAGAGAACTGGAAGGGTAAAAGTAAGAAAAATCTTTGGTTAGATAAAGAAAGTTTAATAGGGAAAACAGAAGTTGCATTTGCAGGCAAAGCAAAGTAAGGAGTTCATCCACCACACATCAGCAGAGCTCCAGGAAAGCAGGGCTCCATCATGTGTGATAATTACTTGGGAATACAAACGACATAACTATGAAGTTTTTCCCCCTTGCTCCCATTTATCCCAGCTTTTATTGCTCGGCATAACATCATGTGGTCTGGGATATCCCTCTGATCAGTTGGGGTCAGTTGTCCCAGATGTGTCGCCTCACAACTTCCCTGTGTGCCCCCTGTCCACTCACTGGTGGGGCAGTGTGAGAAGCCAAAAAGGCCTTGATGATGTATAAACACTGCCCAGCAGTAACCAAAACCTTGGTGTGCTATCAGTGCTGTTTGGGTTACAATCCAAGACATAGCACCACAGAGCTACTGTGAAGAGAACTAACTCTGTTCCAGCCAAAACCACCACACTCTACTTTCCAAACTGTCCAAACATTGCAGTAACTTCCATATAGGCATATGAAATTAGATTTCAGCAAAAATATTGCAGAAATAGCCGTTATGTTTTGTTTCTTGGTTCCAAACTGAAAAGAAGAAATTAATGTTGCCTTAGTCCCATGGAGTGAGCAGTATAGATATTTTATCATAGTCTGGGCACATCTATGAAGCAAAACAGAATCTGCATGTATTAAGGATCAGATTTATTTTCATATTTGCTGCATTTAGCCCAACTTTGAAAATTAAAATTAGCGACCATTCAAGCATATACATCATGAACATAAGTTCATATCTTCCTTGAATTATGGTTCCTGCAGGTGTGATAAATACATTCTTATTACAGATTTATTTTATATTTTTTTTAAATATCAAAATGTAAAGACTCATCTTACAGGCTTTTTCCATCAGAAGTTCAGATCAGGTTTTATTTTACCTAGAATTTCTACCATTGGAAGTCATTTTCAATTTCTACCATTTTCAGACTGTACTGGCCAGCTGGCCATGTTGTGACAGCTATTCATGAAAATAAGAATTATGGGCAGTCAGGTAATGTTAATGAATGGATGGATAACGCCCCTGTGAGTTGGTCGTGCTACTGAAAGGGAACTCAGTCTGAAATATCACAAGTGCAAAGAGGGATGGTGATGACTGCCAAGGTGCATTCAGTCTGTGTACAGTAAGGAAGGCTGTAGGCAAGAGCTGATAAATATATCATCAAGGAAAGGATGAGTGCCTGGAGGGGTTTACTGTGGCCCAGACTGCTCTTTGGGAAAAAGCTGTTCTAAGCAATGAGGGTTTTTTCAACAGTTTTGGCAAGTGGTGTAAAACCTTATTACAAGACATACAGATCAGCTGGTTTAAATAGTATGCATCCATACTAACTTTTTTCTTTACTGCCAAATTATTTTTTAAATCTGTGGAGATGCTGAAATTGCACTGTTTTGTTTTTTTCCATCAAGAGAATGGACGTTTCTGCTTAGCCTCTGGGAAACAGAGTTTTGTGAATTTCAAGGCTTTTTATAAAGCTGTCCTTGACAATAAATATAAATCGACTGGCTAGAACTGCGTAGTTTATAGAGGAACTTACACTCTAAGGTGGATCCTACTTAGCAGTTTGATAATCCTACTCATGGAACAGTGTTTGTTTTGAAGTTGAATGTCAAAACACGGAATGGACACTTGGCTCAAATACTACAGAAGGACTATTGAGGATATGGCATTGTATCAAAATGATAAGAAAGTATTTTGTAGATACATGTTTGAGCGGTGTTATGCTGATCTCTTAACATTGCCATTAGTTATCTGGAGTGGGAAACAAGTCTATCTAGATAGAGGTAGAGCAAAATAAAACTGAAGCGTAGAACTAAACAAGATTTAAGTGAAACAAGAATGAATACAAATACTAGCACAAATTAACAGCTTAAGGTGTTAAATATTAAGTCCTTCAGAAAAGAATGATTAATATAAACATAGAAGAATCTGACATAATATGACAAAATGTGAAGCAAATTGAATGGAAAGGAAGAAGGAGCCTCCTGAGTCTCAGATCTCTTAAACTCCAGAATAATTTTGCCGCAGGACTGATGGGAACTCTGTTGCCTGAGACAATACTTGAAGAAACTCCTCTGCTGTGGTAGAGAGTAAGCAGTAGACAAGTTGATATATCTGTCTGTTGGACAAAATAAATATCTTCTGCAGCTATATACTTTTCTTGAACATTTGCATCTTTTTTCATTTCTTTCTGACTGCTAAATTTATGTCAGCAGATGATAGAACCCATTCTGTATTTGAAAACTACAATGTACAGTTAAGGACATTATGCCTATTTTTCTCTCTAATCTTAATTTGTCTGTCTCATTTTTCCAAGCTATTAACCTGTCTTAATATTTCACTCATACTGATCTACTCTGTGTATAAGGCTATTACTCTACTTTTATACAAAGTAATGGTTCAAATGCATTATCATTCTTACATAACATAAAGAATCAGGAGTGTTCCTCCCTCCAAGAACATAGTTTCTAAACTTTGAGTTAGGCATTTCAGTTTAAACTCTTAAGCCCTGTTGTGTATGCATGATTCTTTTCCTAGTGCACAAAATAAGCCTCCATAAAGGACAATAAAATCATGATAAACAGATTCAGCCTTGGGCAGAGGCTAACTCAGCAGCTATCTGCTATGTTATCTTTTAACAATATCCTGGAGCTGTGCATCTGATTCTCTTCTTTAGTTTCTAGCCAAGTGCCTTGGATGCTTTTAATTTTAATTCTGTAGTAGAGCACAGCATGACCTATGTCAGTGCGTCTGAAGTAACCTTGCAGCCAGCTGTGGAGGTCAGCAGCTGGCAATAGGAAAACACGTAAGTAAACAGGCTGGAGAAGAACTACAGATGGGGGCCGTTGTTCAGTATTAGTGGCAATGGTTAGATCCTAGAGTTTCACCCAAAGTGCCATTGTAAGTAGGCAAGCCCTGGTAAGAATTATGAAGGTGATGCTCATACCTGAGTGTACAAGCCATCAACATTTTGGAAGTGTTTATTTTACCTAAAGAATATGTTTGACACATGTCACTGAAGTGGAAATTTTGCAGTAGCACATCCATCATTACATAGCAGTAGTTCTCAGCTCAAGGAAATGATCATTACTCATGATCATTGCTACAAATGTCTTTTCAGTTTTCCTCACTTCTGAGTTTTTCTTCTGTATCATTCTGTCTCTGATTATGCAGGCTGATGCACCATAGGACATTTGTGCCTTAGTGATGTCAAAGTTGGTTAACTGACTTGTTTTGTTTTGTTTTTAAAATCACCAGTATGTTTTGTAAAGTATGAGCAGTAAGAAACCCCAGAAAAAAGCAGAAGTACTTCACTCGTAGTTTAAACAACAATGCCTTTGGCACTAGTTTTAATATCATATTTGTATCTGGATATGTTGTCTGTATTCAGAAACTCTAGCCTTATAGATGGCTTGCTTTTCAATATGCTGTTAGGGATGTGCAGGGAGATGGCATCATTCAACACCTATGTTCATTTGGTAATGCAGCTTTGAAGTCTTCACCTTCAAAGAAAAGGTGCAATTCCATCACAGCCCTAAAGGCAGCATCACAAGAAATAGTGTGTGCCGTCAGCCAGGAGTGGAAGGATGAAAAGCATGGCATTCTTGCCGAAGGACAAAGCTACGCCAGCCTTGATGAAGAAGGTAATGTCTTTCAAGGCAACAGCCTAAACACTGTTGTTAAGGGAATTTAGTATAAGCTCCAGAAGCCCTACAACTAGAGAGCTTCCAGTCTAGCTATCTTTCAAAACTTTCAAATCAGGTTCTTCTCACGAAGGGAATTGTTAGTCATATTTGGCAGAATGGACCTTCCAGGAGCAAGAAGTCACAATCAAGGTTGTTATGACGTTAATCTTTGGCATTTCAGGGGTTCCTAAGAAAAATTATCCAGCCTGGGTAGCAGATTAAGACCAGAGCAAGTGCTATTCTTTTCCCTGACTTTTAAACAAGCATGTCACATGAAGTGGTTTTGCAGCTCAGTTTATTGTTCCCAATGTCTTTTTGAAGAGATACAGACTTTGCCCCTTTCAGAGCTCACCTGCAGCCAGGCTCAGAGGAGAACAAGCCATCTAATCCCATCTGAAAACTGGGCTCTGGTATTATAAGACCATTCCCAGAACCTAAAAGAGTTCAACAGATATTCTTACCACTGTGTAATATTTGATCTTAGGGTTGCTCTGCATTCTGCTGAAGCCACTGTCTAGCAGCTGAAATTTGCCCGGTAGCACAAAAGAGCATGGGTATGGATGCATGAATTTTACAAGCTCATCAATACAAGTATATTAGAAAGCTTCAAGAAGCTGTTGAGCGCACTTTGTGGTTCCATAGAGTTGCAAAAAGATTCTTGGATTTGATCTGAAATGAAATTTGCTGATGTCGTTCTTTATTTTGGTGTATGCAGTACTAGGTTCACGCCACCGGCCAGATCTAGTGCCAAGCACTACATCTCTGTTTGAAGCAGCTTCCTTGGCAACCACAATTTCTTCTTCTTCCTTGAATGCAGATGAGCCTTATCAACGTGATCAACCTATGCTCTATTCTAGCAGGTAAAGGCTGTGTGTCGGGTAGAGGATTCCCCACTGTTTTGCTAAAATTCTGACAGTGTGCAATGGACGGGGACTCTGTGAAAGAAAAAGCAGGAGGGGCGAAGTGTCACTGTAGCTCAACCTTGAACCTCTCCAGTGAAGAAGGGGTGTCATAAGCCCATAGGATTTGTTATGTGTTTGTTTGTTATTATGTCTGTTATGATTTGGGTCACAAAACAGGAAGCAAAACTACTGTGGAAATACTATAGTGTACTTTGAATTTTTTGTCATGTTCCAAAACTAAACCACGCATTGAAAACTTGCTTAGGCCTTAAGTCTGTGCCATAAACTGAACTACATTAAGATCAGGGTAGGAAATACTTGCTTTGACTTGGTTGTAGCTGAAAACAGCTGCAGAAATCTGTAATGTGCTAGGAAAAGGGACCTACTTTCAAGTTGATCTTTATTCTGAATGTACAGTGCTGAATGGGTCTGCTGTAAATTTCTTTGAAATGACAATTTTCTGAAGTGAATTTTTGTGATACTTCTCCCATGGATGCGATTAGAGCCTGTCTAATTTTAAATTAGGACAACAGGGATGATAAAGCCAGGAAGGTCAAGAAAAGTTGTGCAGATGTTTGTAGGCTGGCTTGAATGTGATTTGAGTTGGAGTTGAATATACTTTAGCCATGACTCTCCAATACCGTGCTTATGCCAGTAAATTGTGCTGGGAGATCACCTGCGTGCGTGCCTGTACTCGACCTGGTACCCCTGGAGAGTGCTGTGTGCTGTCATCTCACCTGCTTTCAGATCTCTTTACCGTGTGTCATACTGCAGAACAGCCATCCCTTTGTCTGTTTTTCCCAAGAGGGGTAACCACTGTGAACTCAAGTCTCTTCAATTTTGTTTGGAATAATTTGGAATCCTGGACCACACAGTATCTATATAAATTTGATAAGCTTACTTGTGTGCCTAGATGTGGTTCTTTACTTTAAACTCCATGTTATCCAGAAAGGTCAAGTTCTTTGAAAAGAAATCTTGAGTGAGCAGTATTTGATCTCCTATTAAAATATGACCAACTTTACTTTCATAAGAAGTAAAATGACTTGCAGACTTACTTGATCAAAGTGATGTTTGAAACTTTCATTTTCATTAAGTTGAAATAAACTTCACTGATGTAGCGTCTTCTATAGGTCTGATGTTTTTCTATAAAAATTTGCAATGAGTTATGGGTTATGTAGTAACAAAGATGAAGTTTTATTAACAGAACCATCACAAGTTGCCCCAAATACATCTACACAAGCTGCAGGAAATAAAATTACTAATGAATACACTTTAGTAGATCTAGAGCTCCTTTAATTTATTTTTTTTTTTAAAAAAAACCCTTTCATCGGTCATGTCCAGTTTCTGATAAAGTTGGCTGTAGAAATGCAATATTCTGTGATCTTTTACCAAGTTTTAGCTTTGCTAGAAATAAGGTTAAAGCATACTGGGAGGTTTTATTTGCTTTAATCATCAAATAAAACTACAGAACTACTTTTTATTACCATCAGTCAGCAAAAGAGAACTGTGGAGTTGTCTGGATAAAGAGTTTAGATTTACTGCAGAAAAAACATTTTAGTCTTGACTCTCCATAAGTTAATTGTACAGAAAAGCTGTGAGTAATTCAATGATACTTTCCTGTAAAGATATTCCAAAATACTTCTAAAGTAAGAAAGTTTTTTAGCAGGTCCACACTTTGATTGTGTGTTTAGACTTGTTTACTCTCCGGTTGTGATTCAGTCAATGAAATAACCTAAAATGCAGTTCCTGCTGTCAGTTATGCAATTACCCTTCTCATCTTTATTTTAAAAAATTGTATTGGAACTACAGTGTCTGCAGCCCAGGTTTTCATGCTTTCAGTTCATCAGAACAACAGGACATGTTCTCTAACACAGCAGACCTTGCACAAGCATTCATAGATGTGTGGCGCTTTCTCTGTCTCATGCCAAGACAAAAGACCTTGCCCCATAGCCAAGAGATCTGCCATGGGGGCTGACAAGCTGACATACTTGCAGTTCTAGATGTATCCTCTTCAGCTAGGGCTTTCTGGCAATTTTTTCTCCTCACCAAGTACTGGTTCGTGTCACAATCTCAGTATGTACTATTCATGAGGATTAGCTTCCCTGTCCTGGCTAGTGGCTTTCTTTTAGGATTTTAGAAAGCTGCTTAGCATGCTCAGTATTAAACTATTTTCCCAAAGATGTTTCTGAGCACTTGCAATTTTGTACCTACCTCTGCTTTCTGCAACAGTGCATGGAGGTCCTTCTTTCTTCATGGCATTAAATAATACGTCCGTCTGAAGTTTTATCTGTATATTTGTGGTATATTGGAGGAAATTCAGCCCTCCCATGAGAAAAGCTGGCAGGGAAATAAAACCACCAAGAAACCAATGCTACAAGGATGCACTGAGTTGTAGATATCTTAGATTTATTTTTTTTTTAGCTGGAGTTCTCCTTTTGGGCATTACAAAATATTGTGATGCAGGACTCATCACTTTGCCATTTATCTCTAATAATGAGAAAGCCTGGAGCACTCTGAAACAAAGCTTGAATGAATGATTTGTTTACAAATGTGAGCCTGCTTTCAGTCTTTAAATATGTAATTGAGTATGACATTCTGCTTCAAGTAATTTAATAGAATTGGTTCAGGCATCTTCTTCATTGGGCTTCTTCCTCTTTCTTCAGAATGCCCTGGCACAACGTACAGAGTATGCAGATTTCCTTGTAATGTCAGAAACCTGTGGTTTAGGTTGATAAAGGGAGACAATCCAGTGTGCATAGTAATGACACAATACTTGTACAGCCCCTTGACTCCTGTTGATGTTAATGAATAGTCTGTGCCCACACTAGTGATGACAGTTGCTGTTGTGTGCCTCGTTAAAAAAGACAGCAGTAATACTTTTAGATACCTTGAAGCATGTGCCATATTTTTAACTTGGTGGTTTTGGAATTACCCTCTGTTTGAATCAACCATGAATGTAATCTTTCTCTAAGTAGAGGGAAATGGCATTTTATATGAGAAAGGAGCTTGGCACCATCTCTTCTTGAGGGTGCTCAGAACTCATGGCAGGAAGCAAGGAACTGCTGCCAATGTGGCTAAGCAGACAGAGGTGACTTGGTGAGCCAAAGCTGGCTCCTGAGGCTACATCATGTGAGGAGGGTTTATGTAGGTGTGGCTTGGTACAGATTAGAACTAGCATAATGAATTGGTGGATAATGCAAAGCAGCATTTAGGGACTTGTGATTAAAGCAAAAAAGGGAGAATGAGCAGCAGTCACAAACATACAGCTTACCAGGAAGGTTTTTCCAGACTGCTAGCTGATAATTTTTCACCAAGTTATTCTTCAGTCTTTAAAGAGTTAGAGGAAACTCCAGGTGTTAGCCAGGCAGTGTGGAGAGGCACCAGTAGAAGCAGTGAATAAAGGAGTAGTGGGGAAGGGAAAAAGGCAGTATTTTTCAGCACAAAAGGAACTTTTATCTAAATAAGGGAATTAAAAAGGAAAAAATGGACAAACACAACATATGTTATCCAGCAAATGTAGGCTTTTTTGTTTGTCAGAAGGCAGCTGGTTTCTGTTCTAAGAAGCTGTTTCTCAGTCAAGTGGTTCTGTCATAAGCAAAATGAAATATTCATTTAGTAGGAGAACAGAATTGATGATTCGTAGTTTGTATTAAAATTTTCAAAGATTTTCCACTCCTCCTCAAGTAGTTTTATATTTGCTGTAGAGATATTTTAGTACCCAAAAAGTCTTATTTTCCACTAGAATGTATGTTTCATTTTGAGTCTGCATACACTTCTTTGAAAGGATTTATTTGCTTTATCTTAGTAAAGATAATGGATATTATGTCAGAGATTATTTTTATAGCAGAAGTAGTAACAGTTTTTTTTTTACCCCTCCAGGTAAAGTTTTCCCAATATGTACTGATTAATTAAATTGAACATGACCTATATGAATGTCCTCAGCAGTATAAGTGTTGTTTCAGCACGGTTTTTACAGTTTCAGACAGATAAAGGTGGTTAATGCCTCTGTGGTTCTAGAAATGCTTTAAACTGGGGGTTTGAGATAGAACAGAAAGTCTCTTTCCAATGTACCTTTCAGCAAGTCTCATGGCTTCCAGTCACAAAGTCAAAATCCCAAGATGCATAAACAGGTACTTCACCTCTCTGTCTTCAGAGCAATGCCAAGATACTGTGGGTTATATAAGGAATACTGCTGAATTTTCTTGATACGTTTGAGCCTAAGAAAATAATCTATATGAAATCTGATTCTTGTCTCTCTTTATGCATTCTGTGCCTCCTTTCTGTCAGATGTGTATGCCGAGCAGACTTTCGCCTTCTCTTTCCTCTTTGGTCTGCTTTTCCATATATTTTTCAGTTGTTTGTTTGCCTTGCCTTTGCATTGCTGATTTTCAGTGCAGACTACCTGAAATTTTTGAAAGCTTTGAGAGATTGTGGGTTTTGTTTTACTCTTAGACAGTCAAAACTTGATGAAATGTCCAAACTTTGAACTGGAATGTCTCATGACTTGACATTATATCAAACAACCTTTTCAAAAACAGCTTAGAAAATAAAAGTAAATCCTTTGCTGGTTTTTTTCTGTGGAAGGGATCATGGGTATTTATTTTTTCCATTGTAAGGAATGCTTAATCACACCTTTTGCCAGTCTGGTTTTCTTTGTAAACAGTATTTTGTGTGTTAAGTTTAAATATTGTCTGTCCACTCATTACCTTTAGCTTCTGAAGCTTAGACAAATTCATCTGAATCAGATTCCAAGTGGATTAAATTCATGCAAGTGTCATGAAAGTAAGCAGCAAGGTGAAAGAAGGTGACTTGAATGCTCTCTAATGCTAGGAACAGATACACTGGGGGAATCCCCATGAGGAAGAAAGAAAATTTAACTATGAAGCAACATGTAATTGTGACTTAAAGAAAAACAAGTCTTTCCTAGTTCTTGTGATGAAATTAGTTTTGCTTCTTGT